CTTGCGCCTTTGTTTCCTTCATCCTGAATCTCTACCTGATCCATTCCATCCCACTCCCGATCATCCCCGAGTCCTCTACTCCACTCCCTCCTCACACAGCTTCCTCTTCATCCACGCATCCAGGCACTCCTGGGTTGAGCGCTGTGCCTCAAGTGTTCCGCCTTTTCTCATCACGCGATCCAACTTTGCGCTTGCCCTTTGCAGCCTTTGGGCGAATCCTTCTGAAGAGGCTTTTGGAAGGAGGAACATCATTGTCAATGGTGGTCTTGTGCTTGATGACGCTGCATTCAGCAACGGAGTCGTCGTCCTCAGTAACAACTCCGGGGAGGATCTCCTGCGGCCTTGTCCTCGGTCCTTTAGCTGCTTTTGGTCTGATCCTCTTCTTTGCAGTGACGTCTTCTGAGGACAGATTAGCAATGTCCTTTTGTTCCTCTGTGTGAGACTGGGCATTGGGTACGTGTGGTGTACGCTTGCCTTTGGCTGCCCTTGGTCGGGGCACCTTGTGCCTCGAGTTGTCATTCTCAATGGATATATCTGTCTCAACCACCTTGATTTCTTCCATGGTTTCATCTGCCACAACGATGCGATCTGCATTCAAGGAGAACTCATATTTAGTTCTGAAGCTATATGCAAATAGTACCAAATGTGGTGTGTGAGTTATAGATAGGCTTAATGTTCATGTTAGCAATACTACAGCTATATACTGTTGGGCGAAAGGGGGTATACACTTGAAGACTGGATTTGACAATACGAATTTGCCGAACAAAACGCTAGCAGCCTTCATTGTTTTCGTAGTTCGGATTTAATTTTCTCTACATAATTTCATAACTATATGATGATAATAATTATGCTGTTTCCTATTCTGCCATTCTTATTTATAATGAGGGGTACTTGTACAAATATTAAAGATATTTTATTGTTTCAAAACTGTCCTTTTAAATGGTCGCGCGAGATTAGTACTACTACTACTACTACTACTACTACTACTACTGCTACTACATTTTACTAAACTGCTACTACATCTTCTACTATTTCTTCTACCACTGGTACTGCTATAACAACTGCTTCTTATACTATTGCTGCTGCTTCTACTACTACTACTACTACTACTATTATGTTTTACAGATTATGAATGCAGCAGAGAGGGTTCGGGTGATCCTGGCACAGTCAGGCTGGTAAGGCTCATCATCAGCTCAAGGCCCTCGCCCCCTCTACACGCAGCCCAGACAGCGAAAACACCGCCTAGTGGAACCCGCCAAGAACTTTCAGGAGAATATGAAGGCTCCCCAACACTGCAGCCTTCTGCATTATCCAGAGTGTCAGAAGGGCTGTGCTCCCGGTGGAGAACCCGGGCACTCTCCTGATCTGCGTCAAGAGATCAGGAGGTACCAACCAAGGGCACCGAGAACAATGGGGAGCCTGACGACAGTGTATTTGGGATGCAAGCGAGACATTTCAAAGGCGAGGTATTTATCATGCTTTTCCTGAATCTTGCCAATCACGTTGCTGTCAAAAGGGACAGAAAATTCAATGATATAAATAAATTCATTGGCTTTATCAAAAGGACAAGATCAGGTTTGTTGGCTGGAATTCTTCTGAGGCTGTATATGGGCCTATTCCACAGAAGTTTGAAAGCATCATTTTCCATGACGCCCTGGACATGTTCAGGATCGTACCATGGATGGACCTCGGAGTCAAAGTCACAGGAATGGCGAAGACGATAGTGAAGCAGCGAGCCATGCCATCATGTCGTTTCAGATATGCTGTTTGTGCCAAGGAAGGGCAGCCAGTGACAATGTGTTGGACAGTCTCTTTAATTTTATTACACAGTCGGCATTTCATGTTAATATTTTCTTTAAGAATCACATTTTGGCGATTACGAGTGGGAAGTGACTGGTCCTGAGCAGCAAAAAGAAAGCCCTCAGTTTCACATTTAAGACCAGCCGACTTCATCCAGGCAAAGAAGTCGGTCAGACTGCTATTCTGTTCCACGCACTGCATGTACACACGATGCAATGGTTTCTCAGAAAGCTTTTTCACAAATGACCGACTCTGAGCAGACTTGGTGAATAACTTCACCTGGTTTACTCCCATGGATGTACCGTCCAGCAGGACATCGCCATCAACAAAATCAACTTCAAATTTCAGATTCTGTCAAACAACCTTGGCACGCTTAAAATAGCTGTGGAATTCCTTGCTTTCTCATGAGTCTTGACATGCATCACCAGAGGATCATCCGATAAATAAATATGTGCAAAAGTACACAATAAAATTCTATCATGAAGAGCCCCCACATTAATCAAACCCTGACCTCAAGAATCGATTGGCATATATAAACGATTAAGAGAGGAATGATGCTGGTGAGCTCTGTTATCAGACATGATCCTTCTGGCCAGGCGGTCAAGACTCTGTATTTCTTGTTTTCTCCAATCAACTACTCCAAATGAATAGGAAAGGACTGGCACAGAAAAAGTATTGGTGGCTTTGACCTTGTTTCGAGCATTGAGCTCTGAACTCCAGATTTTCTTTAAGCGAGATTTATACTCGGCCCGTTGTTTGTCTTGAATTTGGGCATTCTGGAACTTGTCTCGAAATTGCATTCCAAGATAGGTATGTTATTATTATTATTATTCCTACCACCATCACGACAACCACAACTACTACTACTACCACTACCACCACCACAACACACCACAACACCACTACTACTACTACTACTACTACTACTACTGACTACTACTACTACTAGCTATTCCAGCACTACTCACGGCGGGGGACACCAGAAATGGGCTACTACTACTACTACTACTACTACTACTACTACTACTACTTAAACTACAATATATCCCCAGGAACCCATTTAGGTCGTTAGAGGTGCCAAAAGGGTTTTCTGGTATGTATCCTGCTCACAATATTAGTGACACAGTTCTGGTGCAAAACATCATGGTGATGCTCATATGATTAGTTTTTTTCATAGAGGTATATAACGATCTCAGTTTCCTTTGCTGACATTTTTGTTACTAAACCATCAAGTTCTTTCGGCTGTCTGAAATGTTGCCGATGTTAAATTAAATACTATCTTAATAACTCACTCACTTTAACATATGATGCCAAGACGAGAAAAACTTACTTATGACACGTGACTTGTCATTTGGTTTGATAGATATTGACACCACCCTGTTCTTGCCCCGCTGTCTCCGAACCCAGTCTCGAAACTCTGTCCACCTTTCTACAAGGGTAATCTCCCTTTGTTTTCTCCCTCTCCCTCCCCTCCTGGGGGTCTTCGTGAGGAGGGACTGGTTACAGCCCATTAAATTATCTTTAAATGGTATCCATAGGGTGAAAGAATCTAGCGATGTAAAACACGTCTTGCGCTTTCAATAACCCGGTGATTATGACGTCACGTCATTGATGACGTCATGGTATTTGTCCGGAGGGTGACATCTGAGTCTAATTTAGGCCACGCCCACTCCGACAAATGTGGACAAATTATTAAGTGACTTCATCATTCTCTGCACACGGTGTTATAAACAGTTAATTACATGTACATGTGCATTATTTTGGCATGTAGAAATATTTACTTTCTTTACACGCGATATTCTTGAGCCAGGCTGAACTGAGAGTAAAAGAGTCACATGTTATCCTTCGTCAACATACGAAAATCCATGTTTATTTGTTGACAATAATCCATCAACAATGCCTTGAACACGATATTCAAACAGGAATTGTTATTAAACAATAAGGAGAATACACATTTTGTTTAGTTGTTTGCGTACAACCGGAAAATATATTTTCAAAAATAACAAACGGTAGTATATCAATACAAGTGAATGCGTGAATTTAGTTTTACGCCGCACTCAGCAATATGCCAGCTTTATGGCGGCAGTCTGTAAATAATCGAGTCTGGACCAGACAATCCAGGGATCAACAGCTGGGGCATCGATCTACGCAATTGCGATACGATGACATGTGTCAACCAAGTCAGCGAGCCCGACCACCCGATCCTGTTATTCGCCTCTTACAAGCATGGGTTACTGAAGACCAATTCTAACCCGGATCTTAACGGGTACAGTCTAGATGGATCGAGTAATATTTAGCACCTCCACTCCACGTCTGGTCTAACCCGGATATTCACGGGATATATCAATACAATGTGTAATTTACAGATTCTACCCGTTTCATCTACCTGTGTTTGTTTACAGATCTATATTTATGGACATAATGTTAATATCATATATATAAGAACTCAAGAGTTACATTTTTGTAGAAAATATAAACCCCGCAGGGACCTAGAACGTGTGTAAGATAGCACTCTTATAAAAGTTGTAAAGAAGGCCAAGTCTGGGTGTCGTTATCGATAACCATTTAACTCTCACAAAGCATTAAATATATGAGAAACCCATATGACCCGTGGGAAAGCCCTTGAAAGCCCTTGTCTTGTTGAAAGTTGTTTCAAAGTCAAAGTGGGAAAAGGATCAGAACATTCCCAGCCACCCACCCCTGACTCCCTTTCCTATCGTCACCATACAAAAACTGTGTCGACAATGGACAGCATAACAACTATAGTATCACAGAGGTAGAATTAAAACTAGCATGCTATCGTTAAAAAAATGTGGTAGGAATGTGAAAAAAATGATCACAGACTTATTGTTCACAGTTAGTGTTTTACGTTTTGAACAAAACACCAACTAATTGTTATCTGATATTCTATTCTTTGAAAAAGTTAAAACCAAAAGTTAAAACCACATCTCATAATCTTCGTGTGAGTAGACCACCTGTCTGCCCGATCCAGACTCGAATATTTCTCTTGAAAGGCTTTATTTTTTCAGTCTTTCTGGAAAGACAATTTGCTACAGATTCAATACAACAGATATATCAAATCTGAAATTTATAATTAATATAAATGAGTAGATATACCAAATTTCAAACACGTTCTGCGATTTTTAGAAAGATCATATTTCAGAACTATGAACAGACTGAGTCCAGTTTAGAGTTGTCCTTCCTTGGTGACGACACTTCCTGTTTTCTCTCGGCACGTGTTGAACTGTTGACGATAGAGAAGAATTAATCAAGTCTCGTTTTAAAGTCATATACCAAGACAATGGGCTTGTTTTCTATAAAAAGCAAGAAACAGTATGTCAAAAAGGGTGTAAGTTCACGATGTTATCTTCATAAATGTGGATTTGTCATCCGTTTATCAACAATGACGTACACAGATGCATGTTACCAGGTTACTGGGTCTATATTGTTAGAACTGGTTGTTGACGTTGTTGTGTCATTTGAGGCAAGGACTAATTCAATGTCAATTTCACTTTGATCAGTTTAAATAAAAAAGGTCTTTACTGTTCAAAGATTTGGCAAGAGTTCCTCCCGTTCCCCCATCCCAAATAATATTTATAAATATGCTAAAATTATTAACAAAACTTAACACAACAATTACGAGAGACCTCACAAAATGACTAAAGGTCCAAAATTTAAGTTAGGGTTTAGGATTAGGGTTAGAGTTAGGGTTGGGGGTTATTTATCATTGTAAAAACATAATTTAAGAACTTATTTCTGTAATATGTGTTCATTTCAGAGACTAAATGTGAGTCTATCATGATAATTGTTTATTGCACAGGGTCGGAGGAAAAAGGGGTATGTCCCTTGTAACAGAACAGAGAAGAAGAAGCAGAAGAGGAACACGAGCAGTCAGGTGCTGGTGGAGGATGATGAGTTAATGAGCCGGGAACAGCTGCGGAAGAAGCTGTGAGTTAAGTTCTACTCAAGTGGACACATGTCCTTCTTTACCTCTGCTGGGATGTTGCTGGAGTATTTCGGGAACATTGCTGTGATATTGTTGGAATATTCCTGGAGTATTTCGGGAATATTGCTGTGATATTGTTGGAATGTTGCTGGAGTATTTCGGGAATATTGCTGTGATATTGTTGGAATGTTGCTGGAGTATTTCGGGAATATTGCTGGAGTATTTCGGGAATATTGCTGTGATATTGTTGGAATGTTGCTGGAGTATTTCGGGAATATTGCTGTGATATTGTTGGAATGTTGCTGGAGTATTTCGGGAATATTGCTGTGATATTGTTGGAATATTTTTTCAATATTGCTGTGCTATGAATGGAATAGTGCAGGAGTATGGCTGTAATATAGTTGGAATTTGGCTGGGATCATGTGATATTGTTGGAATATTGCTGAAATATTGTTGGTGTATTGTTGGAATATTGTTTGCAATATTTCTGTGATATTGCTTTTGTATTGTTTGAATATTGCTGTGATATTGTTGGAATATTGCTGAAAGTAGCCATACATACTACAGTAATCTTAGCACCCATTCTCTTCCCACAGAGGTTACTCCTGTCATATCTTCCTACGTAACCTCTGTTCTAATACGGCCCTTTCATGGTGTGAGCGTTCAAGACTTGTGATTGGACGCAATCAGAGTTAGTTGTGCAATCAGCGACGTTGTTTCAAAAGTGATCATTCGCAAGGCCTCCGTAATTTCCGTATGCTTCGAGAAAAACTAAATTTCTTCCCCTGCGCGATGCGCAAACGTTTCTTCTAGACAGAACTCAGTCATGTTATGGCGGATCAGTGGCGTCTCCATCGCCCTCGTTGACAACGGACAAGCTAGCCATTAAACGTCTTGTGTGTAACATCAACACAATTCCCCGGCAGATGGGGGATATTTGTGGCCCCGCATTTGCTTGTGTTAGTCAAGTTGAATCCAAGTCGATGTAACACGTGTTCTGATTGGATAGAAAGAAGGGAGATAATTCGTGTTGCAATCTTTTGCCGCTAGGGGACTTTACGAGAACCGGGAAATATGGCCGTATTAGAACAGAGGTTCGTAGGAAGATATGACAAGTAACCTCTGTGGGAAGAGAATCCTTAGCACGATGAAGGTATGTAAAAGTATGGTAGTTAGGATCCTCTTACTGCTACAGTTGCTTATGGTTGTTTGATTGGCATTCTATGGAATGGATATTTGTCCATCAGGCTTATCATTTTATCTACACAATATCTTGGGCAACATTGGGGTAATGGTTTTGCAGGATTCTGCCACTTTATGTTGGCTTAACACAAAAGGCAGCATTGAAGTGTTTCTGTTTACAAGAAATGAGGCACTAGTTATTTTGCAGACAAAAGCAAAGGGAGATAATTTATTATTTACCGTTCATGACTGCTGGCAGACCGTTCTGTCAACATTCATGTATAATACATGCTACGGTTTCCATCATGAATTCCAGTTTGTACTGGCCCAGGAGGACTATCAGGAACTAATTTAATGGTGCCACTGGCACTTCAGTAAATGGACTTTTTAAACATTTAAAGTTGCTGGACTATATTTCCTTGTCATTGTCAATCCAAGTGACCAACGGCATAAGCATTGATCTATGCAATTGGGATACAATGACATGTGTCAACTAGCCTAACCATCTTATCCCGTTAGTCGGCTCTCATTGGTTGGTAAAGACCGATTCTAACCCTGATCTTCATAGCTCCTCTTGTCAATTTACCTTTAAGTCTCAATAAACCAATTCTTAGTTTTCTTCTTTTTTTTCAGAGTACATCCTATCACATATATTTTTGTGAATATTGACCGACCAATGAAATGACTTGCAGTGTGTCGACATTAGTCAATCAGCTTTTTAAACTTTTACAGCCTTTGTTTCAAACTTGCAAATTCCAATCCGGACAACACATTACATATTTTAACAAGGTTCTTGATTCATAGGCTTTTAACTTTGACAGCCCTTTGTTTCAAACTGGGTAGCCTAATGGTTAAAGCTTGATTCATAATCGTTAGCCGTTAAAGACCCGGGTTCGATTCCCCACATGGGCACAATGTGTGAAGCCCATTTCTGGTGTCCCCGCTGTGATATTGATGGAATATTGCTAAAAGCGGCATAAAACTAAAACTCAGTCAGTCAGTCAGTCGTAATCTGAAAAAAATAGAAATGAACAAACTAATATTGAGGAATGTGAGACCAGGCTGTGGAAAATCTTTGGTGAATTAATGGTATATCCTTTTTAGTCAAGGGACAAATATTTTGATGAATTAAGTCATAACTGTCATTCAGTTTATGAATTGTTAACCTTTTAAAGATTGCATGATTGGAAAATACAATTTGGACTGTCATCAGATGGCTCTGTTGTTGGACGAAAGGTTGTTCTAACGTGACTCTTGACTGGATATCCTCATATCTTTGTTTAGCAATCACAAGAATTAGGACCTGATTTTATTGAGATTTGTTTGCCTCACAAATCAATGTGTTGCATTTTTTATCCACAATCGAATATTTTATGAGTCCCAAAAAATATTTTTGGGTTTCTTTTGAATGAAAATTACCATCAGGAGAGAATCCGTGAAGAAATCATTTAAAGTTGGTCTTAACCAACCCATGCTTGTCGTTACAGGATTGCGTGGTTGGCTTTGTTGTCACATGTCATTGTATCCCATTTGCAAAGATCATTGTTCATATATCAGTCACTGGATTGTCTGGTCCAGACATGAATATTTACTGACCGTTGCCATACAGTTGGAATGTTGCTGAGTGCTGTGTAAAATGACACCCAATCAAGTCCATTAGGGCAGCAAGAGATGACAGGCAATAACAATAATAGTATTGTATCTTGCTGCTAAATACCTTCCCTATATTTTCTGGACTAGCCTTTCGGTAAATACCAACATGCTAGACCAGAAGGTACTTTGGATGTGCTAAATATCACTCAATCTAGACTGAACCCGTGAAGATCCGGGTTAGAATTGTTTTCAGTGACCCATGTTTGTCGTAAGAGGTGATTAACAGGATCAGGTGGTCAGGCTTGCTGACTTAGTTGATCAATGCTCATGATGTTGATCACTGGATTGTCTGATCCAGACTTGATTATTTACAGACCCCCGCCATATAGCTGGCATATTGCTTAGTGCGGCGTTAAACAACAAACCAACCAACCGACCAACCAATTAGACTGAATGTTACATTTTCAGGAAGAACCGGAACACCAGTATCACAGTATCTGGCAAACGTCGACAAAAGATGTTGAAGAGGCTCCGACACACAGTGAAAGATGACAGCAAGTTGATACAAGTGGATGGTAGGTGGGACGTACCCAGTGTTGGTGGTCTGAAGGTCATCTCGCAGTGTCACTTCTGGCAGGAGTGAGCACAGGTTTTTAAAGTGATTTGGAGTCACTTTCTGTGCCATTGGCATGTTAAAACTTGAAAACCATTTTATATTTTAAAACAAAATGTCATATGTAACAAACAGATATTGGAAAGCTACCTTTTACTATTCATGGACTTTTGGCATTCTTATGCTTCAAGACTTCCATAGAAACGATTTGTATTTAGTCTAGAGAGACCGAGAGAGACATTGAAATTGTTGAGAAAAGCATCAAGTACAATGTATATTCCCATAACAATAATGTACACGTTTCAATATTTACATCTACATCACCTGTCACTAGTAAGGTGTCACATCTTTAATGTGATGCTAAGACCTGTGAAGGTCTGGGTTAGAATTGATCTTCAATAACCCATGTTTGTCGTAAGAGGCGACTAACGGGATCGAGGGGTCAGACTCGCTGACTTGCTTGATACATGTCATCGTATCCCAATTGCGCAGATCGATGCTCATGTCCATATCCATTCAAAATTTTGTTCCCGTCACTCATGGCTTTAAATATGGCATCCATGTCGGCGACATCAACTTAATAGTTGGAAGCAGACGTAAACATCAACACAACAACAACACAACACAATTATCTATATCATATGCTGTATCATCTATCATTCATTTCCACTATATTGCCTTGTTCTATATTCAAAAGAAAAGGTTTGATAAGGGGTATACTTGGCCCATGGATATCTGAATCATATTTCATTCACCAAAAGTGATTATGGATTAGTAAACAAGCTTATGTGAATAATGATCCATTACATTTTTACATAAATACAACAAATATTATATAATAAACAGCATGCTAAGAGAGCAAGCAACCTGTGTATACTACATCTTATTTACCCATCAAATGTGCGATTGAATGTTTACATCTTATGGTGACATGATTTGGACAGATGAAGAACTAATGCAATGTGTGTTCATAGGAATGGCGGCAGGAGCAGGATGGATTTAGAGATATATGCCGTTCAAACATGTATGCATTCAAATCACTACACCCAAGTCAGAGGCAAAAATGAAGTATTTGGCAAAACTGTGTACCAAAATATAGGTCAAAACTACTGTCGGCTTATAAAAGCAAGGGTGGGGAAGAAGTAGCCCGGCTAGGCCAGAATCACCCCACTTTTCATAGTAAACAGAACTAAATATCCTAGTTTAAACGGGGAAAGTTTGGCCTAGGGGGGGAAACTTGAGCCTAGCCCAAACTTTCCCCGGGGTAAGAATATCCTAGGAGAAAACCTCCCCGGGGAAAGTTTAGACCGGGGAAGAAATGGCCTGCTACACCAGGTTAGAATTTGTCTTCAGTAACCCATGCTTGTCATAAGAGGCAACTAACAGGATTGGATGGACGGGCTCGCTGACTTGGCTGACACATGTTATCTAATCCCAATTGCGTATGACTATGCTTATGTTGTTGATCACTGGATTGTCGGGTCCAGACTCGATTATTCACAGACCACCGCCATATACGCTGGAATATTGCTGAGAGCGGCGTTAATTAACAAACCAACAACAACCAACAACTCTGTGGCACCCACACTCACACACTCACTCGCACACACATTCAGGTAGAGACCGAGACAGACTCACGCACCACACACTCATATACGCATACAGTGTGTGTAGCAGTAGAAGTTCACCATGTTCAGTAAACCCATTTCACTTCACAACCATTTTAGTGAGTGCATGGTGTTGCAGACTAGGCTTTATGCTCTACTACATGGAATCATCCAGCTTATCAATAATTGTCTCTGTTTTACAGCTGAAATGGAGGAGGAACCAAAACAGAAGAAGAGCAAGAAGAAGAGCAAGAAGTCAGGGGAAGTGGATATGGATGAAGAGTTGTAGTCATTGAGACGAGGAAGATACTACTTCATGTCAGCCTGATTGATTCACACATTAAAGCATGGTTGGTTTGGAAGAGTGATTCAGTTCATGGTGAATGCCATTGGATATCTAGCAGAACATGCACACCTCTTGTGGAAATGATTGGTTTTGACCATTGGCATGACTGTCACAAAACTTCTGACAAAACCACTGTTCATGAGCACCACATCCAGTGGGATGGTTGTCGGAAATGTTTGCCAGATGCCGTAGTGATCTGAATATTGTGTTAAAAGGATCACTGTATATGTGCTTGTCATTAATCGTGTATGTTGGGAGTCCAAGAGTCAAGAGCTCACGTTGGACGTTGTAAATATCTGTAAATATGTCAACATAAGCTGTTGTTTCTCTCTGTCACTGTCATGTATATCAGATCTTTTACTTGATATGATACATCTCTTGATGGAGATTGGGAATGCCTCCATAGCTGTGGAGGCTTCTGAATGCTAGGAATGAGCAGGGGTGATGGGTTCAAACTGACCTTGTTCAATTCCCACATGGTACAATTCGTGAAGCCCATTTCTGGTGTTCCCTGCCGAGATATTGCTGGAATATTGCTAAAAGTGGCGTAAAACCAAACTCACTCACTAGTAATGAGTAGAGATATTCAGACACATATATTTGATTTCTGTCTCTCAAATACAAATCATCAGCATTATCAAATAAACAGCAGCCTTTTATTAAAAGTGTTTGGGATATTTTCTATATTCTGTCATTTCTAAGTGCCATGTGATTACTCATCCTGCAGCTTTTTTGAATGGCATATATAAATGACAGGATCCTGATCCACAAAGCGTTCGTAATGTTACAACCTGTTGTAACTATATTGTTTATCATAGGCTTATGAATGATGTAGTGATGTAACGCTTTGTGGATAGGGTCTATGGGGGTTTATCGAATCAAAGGAATCTATGTTAAACTGTGTCATGATATCTGAGGCAGGCCTTTGTCAGAATTATTCAAACAGTTACACACATATCCTACAAGAAGGACATAATCTCCAGCGTGCCGTTATACCCCTATCGACCTCACCTCCCACATTAGTGTCATGGCACCTCCCTCCGATAGTGTCAACTATGGAGGGTATTTATCTTCTGATGTGTTTTTCTTTAGTTACTCGTAAAAGTTCTGAATTATGATGGTAAAGAAATTATTCCAATTTAGTTGAGAATGCTTACATTTGATTGGCTTAAGAGCACTAAGATTAAGATTGGGGGTCAAGGTTTGCACAAGGTCATGACCTTGACATGACCTTCTAATGAAGTGTCATCAGATCTTGTAGCGGAGATGTAACCTCCTGAAGTAAAAGATCTGAAAGTGGATTAGTGACTCCTTGAGATGTAAATGTCTTGCATTAAAAAAATACTGACAGATTTTCTGTGTCCATTGTATACTTTTGTGCTTCCTAGACTCATATTTGTGTGTTATGTGAAACACTGGAGTACACTGTGTAGTTATTTCAGTGTTTGTTAAATCATTGTTTGCTTCACTGAGCAATATTCCAGGTATGTTATAGCAGCCTGTCCGTGTTCAGATCTGGTTCAGACAAACCACTGATATAAACCTTGACCACCAGATACAGGAGTGGAAATTGGTCCCAAACCACCTCTGCTAGTAACATATGCTATATTTGGGACTCTTTTTAGTTGAGCCCCATCCGAGATTCGAACTTGCACCCTCAGAGTTCGAATCCCGGATGGGGCTCAACTAAAAAAAGTACTAGAATTTGTACTTTACTAAGAAAGTGTAATCCCAAATATAGCATATGTTACATTTGACCACTTTCTAAATGGCATTGTGTAATCACACCTCTGCCAGGGGTAAAAGTGACCAAATTGGTTGATTGTGTGTGATCAGATGCAGACAGAGTGAATTATTGATCACAGGAGTGTCTAGTACAGATGGGGTAGCCTAATGGTTGAAGCCCTTGCTCGTCATGCCTAAGACCCGGGTTCGATGCCCCACATGGGTACAATTTGCAAAGCCCATTTCTGGTGTCCTCACACTCTTGTCCAGGTTTAAATGCTTTCACCCTAATCGTGTTGCTTGAATGGTTCATGCAGCCTTAAACCACTAATATGCGACCCATGGTGTATCAGCACATCAGTTTCACCACACTGTCTATTGCCAGCTTCACTTTGGGCATTCCTCCAACATAAGTTGTTGTGAGGTTATGGCATAGTGCCTCCATCATAATACCCTACATACATGTAATGTGACCTGTAGTTTTCACGCAAGGCTCGTTAAGCTGAATTTTAGAAGGACTGACTGACTGAGTTTGGTTTTACGCCGCTTTTAGCAATATTCCAGCAACATCACGGCGGGGGACACCAGAAATAGGCTTCACACATTGTACCCATGTGGGGATTCGAACCCGGGTCTTCGGCGTGACGAGCCAATGCTTTAACCACTAGGCTACCCCACAGCCCCAATTTTAAAAGGAAGCCAGCTGAGCCATATTTGGAGACTGCTCTGAGACTTCTGATCACAATTTTATCTCAGGCAGTATTGATGCCATCTTTTATAAATTGGTTGATTACTTAGCCTTCAGGCATCATTAGCCAAAGGTATTATCTGGTGGGAAGTAGATTTTTGGATTGTCTTCTCCAGACTGACTTAAGTTGACTCCCTGCTGCCATATAGCTGGAATATAACTGAGTGTGGTGTCGGACAAACAGAACTTAAGCCAATGTGGCAGTTGTCCTCTTCAGTGATATTATCATTATTCAGTAATGGATTTACTACTTCACATATATGGTGGCCTGTGCAATGTCTACTTTATCTGTTTTGGCCAGCTGTCCACTGTAACCTTGTCTGAGATGACCAATACAAGCTCAATGTATACTAATGTATATATTTGTGGTAGGGTTCAGTTTTAATGTCACTTAACATCATGAGAGTCAGCCTTGACTTCAGTCCATCAACCTTTCTGACACTGTTTCTCTCAACTTTGCTTGGGGCAGATGGGTAGCCTAATGGTTGAAATGTCCAATCATCACGCTGAAGACCCGGGTTCGAATCCCCACATGGTACAATGTGTGAAGCCCATTTCTGGTGTTCATGCCGTGATGTTGCTATAATATGGCTAAAAGTGGAGTAAAACCATACTCACTCACTCACTTATTTTCAAATAATTTGAGGGCGGTGGCATAGTTTAGTGGTTAAAGCGTTGGCTCGTCACGCCGAAGACCCGGGTTCGAACCCTTACATGGGTACAATGAGTGAAGCCCATTTCTGGTGTCCCCCGCCGTTATATTGCTAGTATTGCTAAAAGCGGCGTAAAACCTAACTCAGTCAGTCAGTCAAATAATTTGAAATTTATGTAATCATGTTTTACACATATCAAAATGTTTGCAAGTGCCTTAATGAAGACAGTTTTTCAAAATGTTCTTTGAAAATGGTTACCCATGCGTTGTCATTAAAGTTTAGTGTTTGCTCTGATTTAGGATATACCAGCATCTGATGGTATGACTAACAGATCACCGAAGTAAGTGATGGAACATTGGCATCATGGAGCTACAAATAAAATCCCTGTATAAAATATATTAGTATAAACTGTACTCATTATGCCTTTGTTTTCCTAACACAGCAAAAGGCTCCAGAATATATAATCGCAAATTGTTTGTACTACCAGGCGCTGCCAAACATAGTGTGGAATTGCCGCCCTTGGGCAGATCAGGAACTTGTGATTGTGGGTTTGACTTTTTTTTCATCCTGAGTATGCGACTTGGTCTTTCAGCACCATATCCATGGTTTTCTGGAGTGGTAAAAGTCTGATACCTGCATCATGGGCTATAAGTTGACACAACTGGAATGCTGTTATAATGATATCCTTTAGTCCAAAGTAGTCGCTCACTCACTCACTCACTCCACACATCCAATTCACAATAATGCTAGGGGGTGTAGATTTTATGTTTTTATTTTTGAACAATGCTGAATATGTAACAATTCTGTTTCTGGGTAAGAAATTCTGCTGGTTTAAGAATTAATACTCATTTATATTAATACTCATGTATTGGACTAATAGGAGACAACACTCATGAGTGGCTTGCAACATTGTACCATATGAAACAACAAAATATATTCTTTGAAATTGCATAAAACATTGGAATGCATCAGTAACAGTATAAAAATTATTTGTATGTGGTACATGAAATATACATTTGATTGAAACTAGTTCTGTTTGAGAAAAAACCCTAAAGAGTAGAATGAACAGGAACATATTCGCTACATATGTCAAGTTAATTGAGACTTATTACAGAAAGGATCCTTTCCGGTTTAGACATGTGACCGATATTGCAGACAAGCTCCCATGAAGATCCGGGTTAAAATTGGTTTTCAGCAGCCCATACTTGTAAAATTCGACTAACGGGATCGGGTGGTCAGGCTCGTTTACTTGGTTGACACATCTCATCGTATCCCAACTGATCGATGCACATGATGCCGTTCACTGGATTGTCTGGTCGAAACTCAAATATTTACAGACTGCCGCCTTATATATAGAATATTGCTGAGTGCGGCGGTAAACAGCAATTCTACCATGTTCGTTTTTGATTGGCTGTTACTAAAAATTAGAAGTGAAAAATTTTCAATATCACTTCTGAGAGCTGGTTCACTGCGCGTAGTGTCAAAACACTACGCAAGGGTAAGGAGTGCATATCTAAAACGCGTTTTATTCATGGTGCATATGTCATGATAGAATGGAGATAATCCTTTTGTGTTTACATTTTGGAAGTGATTATAGTTGGTTGAACGCTGCTAAATGTAAAAGCGTGAGGCTTAGATGAAACAGCAGCGTTCAACCAACTATAATCACTTCCAAAATGTAAACACAATATGATTATCTCCTAAACAGACACGATTCTATGTAAAAATTGGTCCCAGGGAAGGAGCTACTAACAGACCTTGTGGGCAGGCGCGGCGGATTGGTGCGTGTCATCGTAACCTGGGTCGTTGCTAATGATATCAATCACTGGATTGTGTGATCCAGACTCGATTATTTACATGGCGTCATCATATCGCTGGAATATTGATATATTCAGCTTTAAACAACGTGTGACCTGACGTTGTGTTATCGCACATGATCATAAGGTCAGTCACTGGAGTTTTTAGTGGACATTTGATTGTTAACAGATCACAACATTTAAGTGGAACTTGCTGTAGGCGATATTAAACAACAGGGAGAGACAGACGATGGAGTAACATAACACAATGAGATGACACCTACCAATTGTATGAAGTGAAAAGTCTGGTTAAATTGAACGTCACTATATGATTTAGTTCCATGGTCATGACATTGATATATTTTTGTATCTCCAACCCTCATAAGTTGATTAAATAGCAGACGCCATTGCACAAGCACACACGCACGCACAAACGCACTCGCACACAGTCTATGTAGAGAGCAACAATCGTGAACGCTAGGTTACATCCTGTACCACTGGACCACCTCCACTATAGTGATCGTAACGTATACCCTGGAGATTGTCGAGGATGATGAACCATGGAGTTGATTGTAAAGTTTTACATACACATCCTCGTTAGTATTCAAGGAACTACGTGTACTGGGATATCATCATCGGAACTTGTACAGAATGATCTTAAGCAGCCATCAACAAAATCTTAGAGGAAATTTATGCATACATCCTGTGAACCTTTATGACACACCCCTACTGAAACCTTTCAACAGCATCATATTAGATAGGTTTTGGCAATCACTATCACATTACACTAGTTTTATCTACTTTAATCATTATAACCATATATTACTGTACATATGCCACAACGCTCAACGTCTATAAACTGATACCCGTGAAGATCCGGGTTAGAATTGGTCTTCAGTAACCCATGTTTGTCGTAAGAGGCGACTAACGGGATCGGGTGGTCAGGCTTGCTGACTTGGTTGACACATGTCATTGTATCCCAACTGCGTAGATCGATGCTCGTGCTTTTGATCACTGGATTGGCTGGTCCAGACTCGATTATTTACAGACCGCCGCCATATAGCTGGAATATGGCTGAGTGCGGCGTAAAAATAAACTCACTCACCCTATAAACTGATAACTGAAATACAACAGCTAGGTGAAATATTTGAAATTTGAACATAATTGTCAACCCCAAATACATGCAAAATATCTCGACCCCCCAACACATACGACGTGTGGTCAGTCACCGAATAATGTTCAAATTGAATAAACGCGAAAACATCATTATTTATAAAAGGAAAGCTCAGTTTCTATGCCCCCATTGTGGTAGATTTTAGTGACCCCTTTCCCCTGCCTTTTGCTGCCATTTTCCCTGATATTGTCCCCTGAATTATACCATGTTTTGTATTTACATATTTACACATTGATTCTTCGAGATGCTAAAGGAGAAACGAAACACAATACAAATACAAAACAGTAGCTAGATGACAAGCTACAAATTTGATCTAAATCATAGATTGTCAGTCCCCATATGGATACAATTTTGTTATGTTTCCACCAAATACATGTAATACCATGACCCTCCGCCAACGTTAATGAACAATGTAAGTGACCATCCCCTATGTCATGTACAAAATCAATGCCCCCTCCATGCCCCTCCCCCATAATTTTAAGCAAATATTTAAATGTTATCATGTACAAAATTGCTCACCCCCAGTCCATGTGAAAATAGTGATGCCCCTACACCTTCCCAGAACAAAATGGGTGCCCCCATCCCTCATCACCCCCACCCCTAGCCGTATATTGTGTACGGTCCCTTAGGTTCATTCTGTAGTAAAAGTAAAACCGTCATTATTCAAAAATAAGAAAATTATATTTACATGTTCCCATTGTGATAGATGTTTGTGACCCCTCCCCCATGACACTGTCATTTCTGGTGTCCCGCCAGACTCACTCACTGTGAGCTAGTATTCATTGGAGCAATTCCTAACAATGAACACATATCAAAAGCAAGATGAATGATCATTACACAAACTGAAATGATTGATCTGATTTATCAATGGTCGTATGACCTTTATTAATATTGTGTGTAAGAATATTAGTTCTTTCCCCTGTGATGTCGGTCATCCCTCGTCATTGGCAGGCGGAGCTTTGTTCTTCTTGCCCAGGATTTTCTTCAAGTTTTTGCTCATGAAGTAAGGCTTTTCTGGGGATCCGTCGTTTTTCTCTATGTCCATCACTGGAAAGGAACAAGTACATATATAGCATACATTTGACAATGGTTATTACAATACATTATTATGAATAACATTAACAATAGTTTGAAACAGACTTGTATGTTAGTATCACTATAACCCAATATTAACCAAGTTGACGACTACGGACGTCAGATCTTATCGACCATATATATTTTCAGATTAGGTTCAAAAAGAAAAGCTAGCTGTAGAAATATGTCCGTGGCGGATACTTTAACGAACAGCTAGTTATTCAGTGTAGCAGGTGGATCGTTTTGTATCGATACAGGAGAAAATTTATCGTCATCGTATCGTCTGAAGCAAAATCGAAGTTTTGGGAACACCTGCACAATGTTTGTGACTTTATTTACGTCTCCAAATGTTGTATACAGGCCGGAATAGCCCTAAATCCGCCATTTTGATTTTATGACGTCATCATCGAACACCTGGCTGACCTCATTTCACAGGGTGTCAATGACCTTGTACTGAGTTGACCTTTGATTAAACCACTTTCCCAGGGGTATTTTAGATCAGGAGCATAGCAACCGAAAGAGAATGACATCATGGTAGTCATGTAGATTTACATGTGTACGAGTGTGATGTTCATCGTACAATATTATTGTGTGTATTTGTGACTATTTGAGAATAAATCAATTTTGGTTATAAAAGTCCTAACAAAAGGTAGGTGAAGGGAGAGCAGAGTGGCACAGTGGAAGCGCACTGGGCTCATAACCCAGAGGACCGTGGATCGAAACCACACTCTGCTAACAACATGTTTTAGAAGTTAGAATTAGGGCTAGCATACATCTATATAAAAGACAGAAACGGTGAAAGCCTCATTTAGCTGTGGACCCGTGATAGTGACACTTCATCTGAAACCTCTGTGTGAGAGTCAGTATTCATTCTGAACAAGACAATGAACAGGAGATACTGGAGACCCTATTTGGACGATCCTAAGAAATGGACCAAATATTACTATTTGCAGGCTAAAGCTAAAAAACGTACTAAGTGAAACAGATTCTAGAACGCATGAACATTAAACCTTATCCTGAACGTATTATTTGGCTCTACAAACGATGGCAGCCCTTGTATAACACCATTCAAACCCATGTTTATCCCTATGTGGAATTTCATCAAGGCATTCCTTCTGATCTCGAAAAGGATGCGTTTCTGGACCCCATGTGGTGAATGTGGTGATCCTCGATGATTTAATGTCGACAGCGAGCAAAGATCCACGCATTACAGATCTGTTTACGGAAGGAAGTCATCATCGTAATCTCTCAGTGATAGCCTTGAACCAGAATTTGTATTTCAGTAAGGATCCCACACAACGAAGAAACTGCCATTATCTGCTTCTGTTCAACAACCCTATCGATCAACAACCCATCATGACTTTGGCGAGGCAAATGTATCCAGGTAACACAGACCGTTTCATGGAGCCGTTTCAAAGGGCTATCCAGAAACCATATGGTTACTTTGTTGGTTGATCTAAAACCCCAAACACCTCCCCCGATTTGCGACTTTGCCCAATGCATTCAGCTTAAAAAGGAGACATTCAAGCCAGGACCATTCAGTCCGAGTTAGACTTTCGGCGTGAGCAGACGTGTGAAGAAAACATCCCAGCCATGCCATCTTGTGATGACTGTGGACTCATGTTTCAAGACGTGCATGATTTGCAAAACACAGAAGAAACTGGTGTCCTGTAAAGTCTTCAGTGGGTCCACCGGGAATACCCCAAGTTAAAAAGGAAGAGGGAGGAAGACGACAACTTCTCTCCTGTGAAGGCGCCACGTACACTGTCAGATTGTGACTATTGTGGTCAAGTGTTTAGCAATAACCACAACTTACAAAGGCATTTACACGATAAACAATGTCCTGAAATGGAAAATGATGATGATGATGATGAATCATTAAACGATGTCACACAAAACAACAGGGAAATGAGATGGCTGATCTCGAAGAGCAAGGTATAAGACAAATGTATTCACGTACACGTGAGCTGAATAAAGACTTTTTGGATGAGAAACGACAGCTGTACATGAAAAGAGGTTTAAACGAAGACATGATTCAAGCCAAACTGAACAAATTCATGTGGAGCACGTTTAAAGAGACGTATGCCCGATTTATTACTTATCTGTACCATTTGCAGTATGGTCCAAAGACACAAGGAATACTGAAACAAGTAGGAGACACAAATAATCTGTATCATGATGTGTTTTCCAAACTGTACCAATATAAGTCTTGGGTCGAAGGCTTGACCGAAGATGATAATGCAGACATAACATCTGATGAAGAGAGTGAAGACCATGACGATTAGGAACGGTGATAAGACAACAGATGTAAAGTAAACTTCTGGGAGCGCTCCTATCCCGTAGTTGTACTCGTTTGAAAACGGAGCTAATAAAAAAATGAAATCAGTTTATCTTGTTTTTTTGTGATGTATACCTCGTTGGGAGCCACATTAACTTAGTGCGCCTAGTGGCAGCAAGATGCTCCCCGGGGAGTTGAGAATGGTAGTATGGCTGTGATTGACATCCAAGGAAAAAGTTACCAGCCCTTTGAGCATGCATGCGGTATGGACTATAGTGCTATATAAATACCCATATAAAATAATATACACCAGTGGATTGTCATTTATGATTACTCTTTCATGCTAACACTATATACAGTTACACCCCATTCCTGATGGAATTTTAGAGAAAGTTGCATTCCTAAATATGATGTAAAAACCCCATGACCAGAACGCACATTTCAAAGCTGACACCGCCCTAGTTAGTGTTCATTCTAACGAGCAGTTTTATTCATGGGTGTTTTAACACTCGCGAGAAATGTCGTCAGGCTATAACTGTCGACAGAAACCTCCCTCCCTCTGCCACAGCAGTGCCCCTAGACTAAGGCTTAGTCTCTGAATATATAATTTTGATAGTAACAAACAAGCTCATTTATATTGAAAAGGAGCCCTAGGGAGACTCAGAGATTCTGAGGAAATCTAGACTTGCTTTATTTAGGCTTTTAGAACTGCAGAGAGGGCTGGCAGTGGGGAAATTAAAGTGGTTCAGGGACTACAGTGCCCCCGCCCCTCTCGCCACAGCATAGTCCCACACACGCAAATGTGGGTCACCAGATCGCGTCTCTGCTAAGCACTGTGAGAGGGAGAGTATTTTGCACAACATAAATCCCAGATATGTTCTATTTACATGGAAGGTGCAAATATTAGTCTCATGTGTTTTGGTGGTTGATTCATTCAATACAATCACAAACATATGGGATTTGGGTATAACATCTCAATATCATCCCCTGATTCCTATATTTATCGCATTACAAGCTGCAGGATACAATGACAATATGGATTGGATATTCAAATACGGAATGTGAATAACCGGTGAGTTTGAAATACGTTTGAAATTCTATTGAGTTGGGTTGTTTTGGTGATGGTCAAGACAAACTCAAACCATTTTCATGAACGCTGATTGCATTGAACAAATGTGTTATAAAACCCGTGAACTGAACCCGTATCATTTCTTCTACAGATATGAGTGTACATGTTTGACTAGACTAATGTTTAGTGTCTGAATGTATTATCTTGATAGTAACAAACAAACCTATTTAAATTGACAAGGAGCCCAAGGCAAACCTGGGGAAATCTAGACTTCATTAAGAGCCTTAGCAGCGCAGGAGGGCTAGGCTGTAGGGCAAAATAATATGGGTCAGACACGTGAGACAGGCTAATGTTAGACCCACGATTTTGAGTACAACTTGAGGAGGTATCATATTACACCTCGGCTGAGTGAGACGAGGGAAGTGTCTGGAGGCTGCGACTGTTAAATCACCATGCCTCAACGGCGCGCGCTCTGAGATGACAGATTTTCCGCAGAAAAGGTTATTGAGTATAGAAAATATAAACATTTTGTAAGAGGACAAAATGATAACTTCAACTGACTGTCAGAGGGTTTTTAATAGGTAAAATTGAAACCGGACGAAACTAATAGTTTGTGGTCAGTGGTCCAGTGAGCCCCGATAGTTGTCTCTACGCTGATTGGCCTAAATTAATGGCGTGGATGTGATGGTGTGATGCTATGATGTGTTTCCCACGGGCGCGCGGTCATTGACCCCTCGGTCAGGGTGAGTCACACCGGAGTGAGTTGGCTGTATGCTGATTGGTCCAAATTAATGGCATGATGTCATGGTGTGATGCTATGATGTGACGCCGGATCCCACGATCATTGACACCCCCTGTGAAATGAGGTCAGCCAGGTGTTCGATGATGACGTCATAAAATCAAAATGGCGGATTTAGGGCTATTCCGGCCTGTGTATACAACATCCAAAAGAACAAGCTTTAAGGTGTGTATACTTTCTTTGGGACGTCAGTTGTTTGGATTTTTAGGATACAGGTTATTGATTATGCAAATGTGTATTGCTCTTCCTAACAAATGTCAACAAAATAATGATTTCATCCCTAATGTTCTTGCTAAGAGCATATCGTGAATGTATCCCAGGTAAATATTAGCTTTAGAAACTAGTCGCCACCTCTTACAGAAGCACATGAACAGTGTGTCCACCGCCATCTCGTACACACTGAAGAAGCAGGATGCGATGATGTACGTGGCGAGGATGATGATCTGAAACACATAAGTGGGTTGATATAGTACTATATAGTTTCATGCTACTGCTGGTTATGTATTGGATAATTCATCACTGGCGGATCCAGGGGCAAATCAGTTAAAAGCACATTGAACTTAATGTTGTGTATTGGCGGACCCCGGGGAGGGGGGGGGGGTTCAGAGGGTTCAAAAACCCTCCACTGAAAATTCCTGGATTCGCGTATGAGTATTGTGTCGTAATGACCAATGACAACGAATCAAATGTTAGAACAATATGGAAGCGATGTTATCAGAAGGCTAACATTCCAATTATATAACAATGAATTTCGAATAGCTTTGTCTTGCATCCAAAAAGCAATGGAGCTAAGCAACAAATCTTTGAACACGACGACATGGAGTCTAAGTCACAACCCGACAAACCCAGTCCACCTTAGGGGCTCTAGGGACAAGTGTGCTACACAGAGGATCTGTCTGACAGGGTCAATCACAATCAATTGTAACCAATATATACAAGAATATTGTCATATTTTATCTGTGGGATTACACGCCCTCTGTAAGGTACACAGAGTCTAGTTCTCTTGTAGCATGCGTTGAGTCTTATGGTCTGGTGTTTTGAATAGCTTTTATTCTAGGGACATCGGAAATTCCCTATCCACTCAGCTTTGGCCACCCCTTTAACTGCAAACAATAGTATGGGGACCGTATGGTCAGACATGCAGTGCTCTATGGGGAGTATATGGCGGGGTTAAGATAATCATTTGGGACTGATATGGATTATAAAATTGGCACTCAGCAGATAAATGAAGCGGTGATTTGTTAAGTTTCGATTGCTAGCTCCCCTACACTCTATCAGCCCCGAATCTAAAGAAGGGTTATCACCCCTCCTTTGACAGTAAGAGTTCCGGTCTATAGGCAACAGTGTCATCGGGTACTGTGGAACATTCGATATCTATAATCGGGATCTGGACGTAACGGCATATATGGTGACTTACAAATTATAGGGACGAAGCAGAAGTTGAGATCAGGCGTGTAGGTCTTCAGGAAGGATATCCGTCCATCGAAGAAGAAAAATGACATTACACCTGTAAAACAAAACAGTGAGTAAAATAGTATTTCAGTTAGTATCCAGTCAGGATCACAGGGCGTGTCACGCTTAGAAACGGCGTTAAAAAGACATATAGGTATATAGGTCTCTACGTGTCACGCTTAGAAACGGCGTTAGAAAGACATATAGGTATATAGACCCTACGTGTCACGGTTAGAAACAGCGTTAGAAAGACATATAGGTATATAGACCCTACGTGTCACGCTTAGAAACGGCGTTAGAAAGACATATAGGTATATAGACCCTACGTGTCACGCTTAGAAACAGCGTTAGAAAAAGATATATAGGTATATAGACACTACCCTAGTACTATATAATACTAGGGTAGGGTCTATATATCTATATCTTTAACGCTGCTCTAAGCGTGACACGCCCCTGTGGTCAGGATGAGCTAGCTATCTGGCTCAGTAACACTCTCAGCACCTCGTGTGATATCAGCTTGTATCACCAGTGGGTAACAGATTTATACCAAACCAACTAAACAATTTCATTATATGCTTCCCATCAAATGTTTTAGGCTCACTTATAACACTCGTTAAGTTGTGTAAATATGGTTACATCGAAGACTGATTTCACCACTAACTTGGAGGAACCCACTGCAAACCTTATGCAAATGAATTGCACGAGGATCATGCATCAAATTGCTGAAACACATGTGCAAATATCGTGCTAGTGAACAGCTGCGTTTTAGTGTGAAGTTTTGTTATGAATTCGCCAACTGTCACCGATTTTTATTATTTATTGAACTCATGACAAAAAACCTTTCAACGTTACGAATTTGTTTTACAATACAACAGTTCGTGTGTAAACAGTAACTTTAAACAGTATCTAATACTGTAATGCAAAATTTAGTTTGGAACAGTTGCCTGAAGTAAGTGGCTATCGATTATGTATAAAATGTGTGCAACGCCAAAAATATTCTCAAGATTTATGATTTGCTGAAAATACTGATTGCTCCCTCGAGAAGCCACCTGTACCATTCTATGTATGTAAGATATCAGGTAATCACGTGCCACGGCGACTAAAACATTTTGTTATCGAATATTTAAAAAAGGGAGATACGGAGGACCTAGTGTCTCGTACAGACCCTGAAGCAAATATATCCAAGAAAGCCCACACAAGTCTAGAAAATGTGGCAAGTCTATATTTCCTCAGCTTCTGAAAATGAAGAAGGTCTCAGGGCTCCTTTTCATTATATTTTATATTTTTTTACTATGAACTTTTTTCAGTAAAATATGTTCATTTCAGAGACTAGTTGTTAGTCTACGGAGGATCGCTGGATTTAAGGACCTCCGGAGAGGCGGTACCTGTGCTTTAGTCAGGAATGAGTCATATCGCTTTTCCTGTATATACCCGGTCATTCATAACGGCCCAGCAACGGGCCACAATACCTGCGATTGTACCCGGAAGAGAACCTATTTACGTGTACCAGTAATTATACTCAGGCATGTCAAGGGGTTACGATCAATATGATCGAGGCAGACACCGTGGTGACTACCCGGATAGAGTTCACAGCCGCTATAACCGCGACCAGGGATACGAAATGAGCAGACGACCGGTAAGAGCAGACGACATTTTGTTATTGTTTGAATTGTTTAAATGGAGGGATGGCAGGGTATCTCTCTCTCTCTCTCTCTCTCACACAGTTAAGGATTATCTTTTGAAGGATGGGAACACCAAATCACAAATCTATTCCACAAGCACGTGTGTCATGGGTATGAACGAATGTGTATAGTTTTCAGCCGCATTAAACAATATTCCAGCAATATTATGGCGAAGGACACGAGACAATGGTTTCAAACATTGTAACGATGAGACGAAGTGCAACGTTAAGTCATTAGGCTACCCCGCCACCCCTTGAAGTATGGCAGTTGCGTAAGACAGTTTTGTGGAAATGACAGATTTGAAAGTATCTTACCGACAGCGCCAACCACGACCAGCTTGGCGATGAACAAGAGGAAATTCGTGACTTTGTCAACAACTGCCACTCTAGAAAGAAAATCGAAAATATTTCACTAATTAAATAGATTGAGAATTACTTTCATATGAAACATTCCATGGTCCCCTTGATTCTGACAATCATTTTCAATACTGATCAAGCAGAATTTAACCACGATCACTATGCTGTTCAATGTTACATTGATTGAAACATTACCATAGAGGAACATTTTATAACATACATTCTCACAAGAACAATACACGATGATACAGGGAAAAGTAATGACGAATGTACCCACCGAACTATGTTCTCTAGAATCAGCATAAACGCCTTTCTAGCTGCCGAGCAAAAGTTTTTGCCATAAACTGCAGTCTGAAAGTATTTCAATATTTATGTTATACTCTCATTGTTAGGGGAAAATAATGAAAATATTACTTTCCTATATGAATAAAAATGTGACGAGTGAGTGAGTCGAGTTAATGTTTAAGAAAATACAGCGTTACTATGGACATCTACTGGAAAACAAACTGGTTTTGTGTAACCTAAATCACAGCAAGGGAACACGATCCACTGAGTCGTCTCATAAGACCCAAATAGGTTGCTGGGGAGGTATCCTAACCAGCTTCTCTAAGCTAATTTTGAAATCTTGGTTTGGACAGTATTTTGGAAGTAAGCCAGCTGGGTATTTTGCAGGCAAAACAATGTGTAATGTGTATATGCATGTACATTTACCTCTGGATCTGAGTATAAGACATTTTGGCATAACTTTGTTTGATAGCAAATATATATAACTGTCAGGATAAACAACAACTTACCAGAATGTAAGCATTTTTATTCAGCAATTTCAAGAATTTCTCCAAACACCAGAAACAGCATTTTAGGCATCTACAACGAAAACATAGATGAATGAATTAAAATCCTAAAAATTATAATACATTCTCTCCGAAAAGAGGAAAGTGAGGTAGTCAAAATGTAAGGTCACATCGACATTATTTCAGCCATTCAACATTGCTAACAATTTGTAGATCGACAATACATTATAATTGCATTTTCGCTGTTTATACTGTTATTCAGATGCAGAATGACAGTTTCAACGTCAAATCCCGGCCATTCAGGCCAGTACCTCGCCCACGTCAGGACCCCAGGGGTATACGTACGTACGATCTCGGAGCAACGACGATCGTTAACCTATGTTAAAGGATGAGAGCTACGGTCATCTGAGAAGAACACTAGGGTCGCCTGATGTCACCTAGGTTCTTGAATGATACCCTTGCAGTATGTAGGCTGCATAAAACATGTAGGTTATATTATTCCTCAAAACTTAAAAATGATGGGTGTGAGTAGGACTTTACTTGTGTTGAAACAAAAGTGGAAGAGAAGGAGGATAAATGAAAAACCAAAAAGCTTAAATTTCTTTATTCCACTCTAAATACCAACAAACACGATGGCGACACACTGAAGCTGCCGTTTAACACAAGCAGATCTACAGCCACGCATTATATCGCAAACGTGTAATTCTCAATCCTAAATACTTCATCACTCCAGCTACTTCAACTCACTTGATGAAGAACTTCCCCACAGGGTTTTCAGTCCCTTTCAGCTTGTGGTCAATGTATTCCAACGCCACACGGATCATCTGGACTATGGCGATGATCAGCGAACCAAACGCCAAGGTTCCTAGATGGTATCTGTAATACAACGTTCACTCTTTGTACATATCAATACTTTGTACAGTACTGTATCACTTGTTGACATCGTCTTCTTTTGACTAGGGTGCTTCGTATACACAGCATAATGATGACAACCCTGAAGGTTGTTCTGGTTGGTTTGTTGTTTTACGCCGCACTCAGCAATATTCCAACTATATGGCGGCGATCTGTGAATAATCGAGTCTGGACCAGAAAATCCAGTGATCAACAGCACAAGCATCGATCTACGCAGTTTGTGTGTACCAAGTCAGCGAGCCTGACCACCCGATGCCGTTAGTCGCCTCTTGCGACAAGCAGGGGTTGCTGAAGACCAGTTCTAACACGGATTTTCACGCATAGTCCTGAAGGCATTCACTACTACCAATAATTCCTGTGCGTACTGAGAACGACATATACGACATGACGCTAACAAAAGCAATCCAGTCACAAGAAACTCACGGGAAAAAAACATTCTGCTAAAAGAGTCACCAAAACATGCTCAACGTATACGTTTATTTTGTTTAAAAGTTTTTGAGCATCCAGAATATCCAGTGAACGAATTTTCTTTGGAAATACTGAGGATATATCGTTTAGAATTCACGGGAATATATAATTATTGTTTTTACAATATAAATAATAAACACGAGAGAATAACCCGTCGATTGTCCACCCAGATTCATTTGGCGTAAAGGCAAAATAACGCCGGTAAAAGCTACATGAATAGATCATGGATCCCAAGATGTTTCTGACAAGCCCAAGGGACACAACTCTGCATGCCATATTGTGACGCCAGAACCAACACGAAGCAAACTTAAGTGAATGTGTTGGGAGTCTTGAGACACTGGAGAACTAGGAGAATGGACGGTCAGTACCTGAGTGTCCGCCATACTGCCCCGAGAAGGGGGAAGGTGGGGACGTCCTTTTTCTTGTCCCAAGCCCAGTAGTAAGAGGCGAAGGCTCCAGCCAAGGTCATCTGACCAAAGGCCACTACAAAGTTGACCATCCAGAAGCCCAGGAACAAGTTGTAGATCTGAAGGTAGATGGTGTACCTGAAAGGACGGAAGTTCTATTTAGAACTTAACATATAAACAAACTGTCGAGCGCAATATACACCCATGTTTGATAGTAGCTTAAAATTAAAACGAAAAACAAGAATAACTTCAGAAGGACATGAACAAGTTGTAGATCTGAAGGTAGATGGTGCACCTGAAAGGACGGAAGTTCTATTTAGTACTTAACATATAAACAAACTGTCGAGCGCAATATACACCCATGTTTGATAGTAGCTTAAAATTAAAACGAAAAACAAGAATAACTTCTTCAAGTGACAGTTAGAAGCTGGTATGACAAAGAGGATCAATTTTGTTATGGACAGACAATTTCATTAAATTATCTTTTTAAAATCATTGGTTGGCGATGTATTTGACACGGGTTGTGGTTGAGTTTTCGGTGACTGTTTTCAGCCTTGTAATTGCAATTTCTTTTGCAAAACTCCAGTTTTCAAAGTGTACTTTCTTTTTCTTGACAATAAGCGTCTTTACGTATATGATTCGAGCGATAGCTTTGGTTAGTTTAACGTTCATTTAAATTATTTATACTGCTAGTTGTGGAATATGCCAACATATCTTTTTGTGCCATGCTAAATTGTAGTAATCATATCTGTGGAAAAGGAATCTAAAATACATTAAACCCAACGATAGTGTCTCCGAAATAAGGGAATATGAGTACAGAATAATACTCCTTGCATACAAAAGTGTATCGCGGTTTCTAGCACTAAGTACCACATTGGAAAGGTGGGGTGTCAGGCTTCGTCACTAAACAATGTCAGTCTTGCAATTTTTATGTTTTACTGTTTTCTACAATTGAAGCCCGCTTGGAGTGGTACATCGATACGGATTATTGGTGTCCTCCTATTTGTGAGAACTCCCAGTTGTGAGACACATTAATTAATGGTTCAGTGCACATAGGTGGAGTTTCCACATCCCTACAATGAAAGTGGGATCAGCCCAGCCCAGTACCCACAGGAGGCATAGTTCATTGATGAGTTGATTAATGAAATAGATCATCAAAGATTATATTTACACAGAAGAAATAGTTCATGGAATATTTTATTTATTCAGAAGAAGAATATGTAATTATGATAACACATTTTTATTGACTATTATGAAGTTTGAAAGTCATTTTGGTTTAAACATATTTTATTATTATTTATGAAAATGAATTGGGATTGGTGAAGTATTACTGCTTATGTTAACACCGCTCACATGCAACATAAAATATAAAATGAAATGGAGGATGTGATGTCATTGATATTGACTATTGTATAAATATATTTTTGAGTACATATAAATAAATTATATACAGATTACATCAAATACAACTATTCTCTAAGTAGTCATAATTAGAGACTTACAGTTGTGTGTGTCTAACAATCTATTGTAGGAATATAAATCAATCAAGTAAATTCTTTGTTTCAGTTCAAAAAATTATCCAGGTTATAACGGGTAGTTGATATCCACAAGAGCAACATGTTTGTTATACGTATCGGCGTTTGGGTCGCTAGATCCGAGCCTGAAGCAGCAATGAACGATTTGACAAAAACAAGAGCCATAATTAAGATCAATATAAATCTTGTTTTCGGTTAGCGTAATTAAAATTCTTTGAGACTGCATGACTCTTTGGAATTTGGTAGGGCATTCCATGAACTTATTGTAGAAAGGGTTTGGCATAAGGGGCATTTCGACTGTAAATTTCAGAGTTATTTCTTAAATTATAGCTTGTACTAGTTTCGGAGACGGAGTTAATCTGAGTAGGTAAATTAATTTCTCTTTGATCGCGAAGTTACCTACACAAAGTGTTTAATTATTAAAGACATTTACCTGAGTATGGTAATCAATATATCTTATAAAGTTTCATTAAGTTACCTCCACAAGATTCAGTTACATAGCAAATCAGTAATTAACTAGGGTGAATCCATTCTATCAGACAGTGGAGTATAGTGTGTTTTCGTTGTTAATTACCTACTCCACTGTCTCATAACTGGGAGTCTCACAAATGGGAGTAGACCCGTATTATTAGAAACTTCATTAAGAACTGAGTCATTGAGTAACTATTTGAGCATTTTGTTGTACTTTTCATGAGTTTGATGAATTGAAGACCTCGATGCCAGAATTCATACTATTTCATATTTCTCCGTAATCAGCTGTAAATTATTCATGAGCTGAATGATGTTATTCTGTCGAAAGTAGTGCATTCTATCAACCTAGCCATTGTGTCAGTATATTAACTCACTCTCCGCCATTGTATCTCACTTGTGTACAGAAATCTCCAAGTGAGGTGTTGGTAGTTGGCAAAATCTGAAACAAAAATGTTATGTTGATAAGAAACCTATACCGAAATCATTGTTCATTGTGAGGCATCAATATTAAGTGAAAAAGCGGTATCTGGATTGACAAGAATTAGAAATACTGCTGTGCCATTTTTAAAAAAGAATTACTGTAGCACAGTCTTATTCATTCATGACAGAATATTTGAAGATGTTGTGATTGCTTGTCATTTAAACACAATATCAAGGTGATATATAATGAAGAGAAAGCGCGTACCTCTTGATTACAAGCCAAATCGAAAAGATTGTCACTCTGTGCTGCAACAGCCGTAGGGTCGATGGTCCCGTTAGGAAACGTTACGTTAATGGCTGACGTGTTCTGATTACGTCCAACGCTGGCTAGGAAGCTGGATGAACGTTAAGGTATTTTTGAATGTTGATTACTTCTTTACCTTTCGAGACAATTTTTAATTCTTCAGAAACTTCTTTAAAGATTTCAGTAGAGTTTGACACCGTTGTCTCCTTGCATCCTCTGACACGCATCAACGTAACGGGATACTGTTCAAAGCGGCGTTAAACCTAACTCACTCACTCACTCACTGAACGTTACTATAGGATACACAGCTATAGTTGCCCAGCCTGTGATGACAGCCAGTTGTAGCACAAACGGGACGATTGGCCACATCAGTGTGAAGATCATGTTCCCCACAGCTCTGAAAATTTACAATTGGGAAAAATAAGCATCGTTAATATAGTGGGAAGACAATATGTTCGCCTATAGCTGGACTATTGCTGAATGCAGCGTAAAGCAACAAACAACACTAAGGCAAGATTACGTGGGTTTTAGTAGCTGGGGTGAGCCATAAATACCAGCCAATAAGATTTCAGGAAGTAATAGAAAATATTTTGAAAAGCCACCGAATTCAGGCGTTAATACTATCATGTTCCAGTCTTGATTTATCACACTCTTGAAACGAATACTAATGAACTCTTCGAATAAGGTATCGTCTCTTCTGAGAATTATGCTCCCTTAAAGCCAACTGGCCTTATTAAAGTTTTATCCTTCGCCAGCTGAATAGAACAATATTGGCTTTTAGGTTTATGTGTGTTATAGTTGGTATAATTCTGTTATCTGATGAATCTTCGTCTCTGACAAAGAAAGTCCCTTCAACAGATATGCTGGAGATATATGAGCTCTGTACCTACCTGCTGCCTTCCTCAATGAGGGCGATTGCAATCCTGATTCTCGAGATGAGGAAGAGGAAGATGAGGAAGACGATGAGGAAGATAATTCCGGCCGTGATACCTGTGAAAGATATGATGATATGACATAGTATTTTTTATTTGATACTGCATGGTTGCCGAGAAGGGCCATCGCTTTCTCGTCTCAAAATATCCGGTGCGAGAAAGCGATAACATGAAAGCGATATTATGGCGCGAGTAAGCGATATACATGTACCAAGACGAGAAAGCCATGTACATGTACCAAGACGAGAAAGCGATATACATGTACCAAGACGAGAAAGCCATATACATGTACCATGACGAGAAAGCCATATACATGTACCAAGACGAGAAAGCCGTGTACATGTACCAAGACGAGAAAGCGATATACATGTACCAAGACGAGAAAGCCATATACATGTACCAAGACGAGAAAGCGATATACATGTACCAAGACGAAAGCCATATACATGTACCAAGACGAGTAAGCGATATACATGTACCAAGACGAGAAGGCCATATACATGTACCAAGACGAGTAAGCCATATACATGTACCAAGACGAGGAGGCCATATACATGTACCAAGACGAGTAAGCGATATACATGTACCAAGACGAGAAGGCCATATACATGTACCAAGACGAGTAAAGCGATATACATGTACCAAGACGTAAGCGATATATGTACCAAGACGAGAGGCCATATACGTAATATACCAAGACGAGTGTAGCGATATACATGTACCAAGACGAGTAAAGCGATATACATGTACCAAGACTTGAGTGGCGATATACATGTACCAAGGCCGAAGGCCATATACATGTACCGAGACGAGAAGCCGTACCATACGTACCAATGATGAAGGCCATATACATGTACCAAGACGAGAGAAGCCATATACATGTACCAAGGCGAAAGCCATATATACATGTACCAAGGCCGAGGCCATATACATGTACCAAAGGCCAAGTAAGCCGATATGCACGTGTACCAAGACGGTGAAATATACATGTACCAAGGCGAGTGGCGAATATACATGTACCAAGGCGAGTGGCGATAAAAATGTACCAAGAGCGAGGTAAGCTATATGCATGTACCAAGACGAGGTAAGCAACATACATGTACCAAAGGCAGTGGCGATAGCGTATTATACATGTAGAGGAAGAATATATACATGTACCAAGACGAGCAGGCGATATACGTGTACCAAGGCCGACGGCGATATACGTGTACCAAGATGATTAGCCGATATATACATGTACCACGACGAGAAGGCCATATACATGTACTTAAGACGAGTAAGCGATATACATCTACCAAGACGAGGCGTTATACATGTACCAAGATGAGTAAGCGATATACATGTACCAAAGACGAGAAGGCCATATACGTATGTACCAAGACGAGGTAAGCGATATACATGTACCAAGACGAGAATAGCCATATGCTGTGTACCAAGACAGAGATACATACATGTGACCAAGGCCAGGTAAAGCCATATGCATGTACCAAGGCAATTAGCGAATATGTATTACACCAAGACGAAGAAATATATGGATGTACCAGGACAGATGCCATACATGTACCCTAAGACGAAAAGCCATGTATACAATGCACCAAGATGAAGAGAATATACATGTACCAAGGCGAAGAGGTCATATACATGTACCAAGGCCAGTCAAGCCATATACATGTACCAGAGACGAAGCCATGTACGTATTGCCAAGATATGGCGATCAATATGTCACCAAGATCCAGATACAACGTACCAATCCAGTGTTTCCATATACGTGCACCAAGACGAGAAAGCAATACACACGCACCAAGACGGTGGGTACATACGTACCGCCAAGACGAGAAGGCCATACACATTGCACCAAGATCTATAGTCGACATACATGTACCAAGACAGAGAAGATACATACTATGTACCAAGATCCAGTGAAAGCCATATGCATGTACCAAGGACAGAAGCCATATACATGTACCAAAGATGAGTAAAGCGATATGCATATACCAAGACAGTGAAGCCGATATACGTATTGTATACCAAGACGAATTAAAGCGATACATGTACCAAGGCGAGATTAGCCATACACGTACCCACGACGAGAGAAGCTCACATGCATGTGCCAGAAGACGAGAAAGCCACGCACACGCAACATGACGAAAGGAAGCCATACTATACACGCACCAAGACGAAGAAGAAGCCATGCACGTATTACTTAAGAGACGAGGAAAGCCATATACATGTACCAAGGCAATTGGCGATATACATGTACCAAGGCCAGTGGCGATATACATGTACCAAAGACGGTAAACCATATACATGTGTACCAAGACGAGAGAAAGCGATATACGTATTGTACCAAGACGAGTGAAGCCATAGATAAGTATTTCCAAGACGGTAAGCCATATACATGTACCAAGACGAGTAGCGATATACATGTACCGAGGTGTCGACATACATGTACCAAGACGAAGCCGATTTACATGTACCAAGATCTAAGCCGACATACATGTACCAAGGCAGTAAGCGATATACATAAAATTAAGACGAAGATAAGCATTGTCTTTGGTGAGAGTTAAGCGAAGAAGATAGACAGATGAGACGCAGGAAGGTCTTGGTACATGTATATTTTGGTATTGATATCCAGACGGCGAGTATCGCTATTCAACGGCATGCGGGGATTTTAAGGCTGAGTATTTTTGGTATTACGTATAGATCTTTTCAGTCTGGTAGACGAGTATTTGGCATTGTTTATAGCCGGTCTTGGTGGAAGTTGTTTGGTATTATATTGTCGGTATTATCGTCTTGGTACATGTATATTTTCGTCTTGGTATTATTGGGAGGAGTTTATCTGGTACATAAAATTAAGACAAGTAAGGGATATAATATGTATCAAGAAAAGTAAGCGATATACATATACTTCAAGACGTAAGTTGATATACATAAAACACGAAGGCCATATACATGTACCGCTGACCAGTTTATTACACATACGACGAAAGTAAGTTTATTATTACGTACCAAGACGAAGGCCATATACATGCAAATCAAGATCTAGCAGTTTATATACATACATGTACATTTTATAGTTTATATACACTCAAGATCGAAGTAAGTTTATATACATGTACCAAGACGAAATAAGTATACATACAAAGATCCAGTAAGCAATATACATGCACCAAGACGAAAAAGTTTACATACCAAGACCCAGAGGTTACATACATGCAACAAGACCTGTTCATACGCTATTACGTACCAAGACGAGAAGGCCATATACATGTACCAAGACGAAAGTGTTTATATCCATGTACCAAGACGCAAGCCATATACACATGCACCATGATCGAAAAGCTATATACATGTACAAAACCCAGTAAGCAATATACATGTACCAAGATCTAGTGTTTATATACATGTACCATCCAGTTTACATACACGTACCAAGACGAGGAGGCCGACATACACGTACCAAGACGAAAGTGTCGGCGATGTACCAAGACGACACATGCCCGCACAGCAAGCGACATACACGTACCAAGACGAGTGTTTACGGCCAATACGTACCAAGACCCAGTGTTTATATACATGTACCAAGACGTGTTTATATACATGTACCAAGACCGCGTTTATTACGTACCAAGATCTAGCAAGCCGACATATACATACAGCGATCCAGGCCATATACTACGTACCCGCCATCGAAAGGGCATCCAATTATGAACTGTGGAATTAGTAATGTTCTTAAAAATTTAATGTCTTGTCTCATAGCAACGAGCATCATGTACACCTATACATGTACCAAGGGCGGGATGAAGAACTGAAGGAATTCGTCACAAGCTCAAGATGAAATTGGTCATGGACATTTCGGTGCTTTAAGTTTTCATATCTTATAGTCATTCGTCCCTACCTATCTACATACATATATTAGCACAAATGCTAACGAGAAGACTGAGTGAGTGGAAATGAAAATGAAGTGAGTGAGTTTAGTTTTGCGCCATTTACCAATATTCAAAGCAATATCACAACAAGGGTCTCCAGAAATGGGCTTCACACATGTACCCTGTGATGATTCAATAGGGCTATCATGCCGAATCCTAAATCCTGATTGGAAGCGACATGTGTAGCCTCTGCTTTCGAATATGTTAACCATCTGACGTGATATAGAAGAGACCGGCCCAACCTTAATTTTCATCACTCATTTTTCTATCTTCCTTGTTGCGGATATTATCGTCACACATCCTTCAATATTTCTGTAAATAACATCCTCAAAGCTATATGTTTCGGCACTTGTTCCCGAACAATGGAATAACTGATTAAATGGGGTGGTTGCTGTTGAGAAACCTCCGTTCCTCAATCTAGAATATTTATTAACATGTATTTGTTATTCATATCATCGATGATAAGTCATCCGTCCGACTATCTACATGTATCTATTACATCTTCTATATGTGAAGATACAGGTTGGAAGAGTAGTCTTCAGTAACCCATGCTTGTCGTAAGTGGCGGGATCAGTTGGTCAGGCTCACTGAAAAGCTTGGTTGACATATGTCATCGTATTCCAATTGCGAATCGATGCACATATTTTATAATCGCCAGGATTGTCGTGATAATTCACACCGTCTGGTTCAGACACGATTATTTACAAACCGGCTCCACATAACAGGTGTACTGCTGGAAGTGCGGCGTCAGGAACAAAGCAAACACAAACTGGTGCTTCAATGTGTGCTTTTTTAAACAACTAGACCTTTGATTCCCAATGATAGAATTGGCGGCAATCAGTTACAACATGCAGTCAATTTCGAATTTATAAATAATATTGATACGGGTTGTTACATGGACAAGGATTAGATCCAATAAGGTTTCATTTACATGCTTTCAAAATATATTGAAATTTCAGCTTAAGTAACGGTATGTAAATTTACTAGATATATTTCATTATATGATCTGACCTGAATTTCGGTGGAAGTAGGAAAGTGATCACGACCTAAGACATATATACATCACTGCCAGTGGGGCACCTGAAATGGGCTTCACACATTTTACCAATGTGGGGAATCGAACCCGGGTCGTTGGCCTTATGAGCCAATGTTTTACCCACAAGGCTACCTCACCGCCTTACATCGCTACCAGAAAATACTAGTCACATAAAGATGCTGATGACGACGATGCTATTGGGCGATCTAGGATTTAGGATGGTCTTTTTATCAGTCAAAACAATTGATGACACAACACTAAACGTAAATGAGTCTTGAAACAAAATTCTACTTTCAGTCTCCAGGCAATGATGTCTGCCATCCTCGTGGCCGCTGTCTGTCTTCGTGTCCTGTCCCAGGCACTGCAGGCGAAGTAATGACG